GGCCCCTGCATCTTTGCCTAAGCTTGCCTAAGCAGGTGTTTTAGACCGTCCCTTATTCTGCCTTTTGTTTTGTTGTAAAATGAGACCACTTATGGCTTCAGTTGTTTTGAGGATTCACTGCCAATCTTTTTTTTTTTTTTTTTTAAAGACAGGGTCCTGAAGTAGTCAAGAAGACAAAATAAAACAAAACAAAAAAACTCAAATTTTCCTGCCATGCCGGCCTTACCCCCAGGCCATGCTGAGGTGAATGAGACTGGGCATGGTGGGGCACACCTGAAATCCCAGCACTTGGAAGGCGGTAAACAGGAGAATCACTACAAGTGTGATCTAGTAGTGATATCCTGAACACCCTGTAGACCCTTCCCTAAAATACAATAAATAAATAAATAAATAAATAAATAAATAAATAAATAAATAAAGACAGGCTCCTACTATGTAGTCCAGGCTAGTCTTGAACTCACTGTGTAAAACAGGCTGACCTTGAACTCACAGGATTCACTTGCCTCCACTTCCCAAGTGCAAGCTCACCTTCTTTATCAATCTTATCATGGTGTAACATTGACCGGTATCAATACTATTTTGTTTTACTTTACCAAAGGAAGCCAATGTTATGTCTTTCTGAAATGCAAAGATTGTATCATACATTCCTCTAGTGTGAACTGGTAACATTTTTTTCAGGAATCTTTGCTTTTTCTTATGAATAGTTCCTGTCTGGTCAACTAGTATTATTCTAGCAAATATAACATCAGTGGGTAACTAGTGAGCAAATCGCCAAATGTGACTTTTGGGTTACTTTTTGAAATAGGTGAAACAAGTATGTTCACAACATCATTTATTACTGCATGAATAACGACCTGGTGACTGAATTCCATGATAAATTTCTAAATTCAAGGTGTAAAATGTCTTTGCATCTACCAGAGTATATAATTTTATACTATAATTAGAAAGTTTAACTGGTGTACGTTGCCAAAATCTTCAACAATGATGAAATGATACAAGTTCAAGTTGTTCATCAGTTTTCTTGTGTAAATTCCTTGACAGGTAACAAAGCTTTCAAAAAAACGAGTGAACAGCAGACAAATTTTCAGATGTTTTTCTTTCTTGTCAGGTCTTTTTGTCATCTAAATGTAGGCAATTTTGAGGGAAACCAAGTCTCTTGAATGTCATTATTCTAAAAATCCCAATGACACATTTGTCACCTCTTCATGAATCCTTTAGATTCTGGTGATTAGGTTGATAAACTCCTACCACGAAGTCTTTTAGTTCAGATAGTATGATGTTGTGAGAAATATATTTTTGAGTATTGCTATTGATGTATGCAGAATGTTTTACTTATATTTCACCATTAGTACATTTCAAGACGTCTTGTAGTATCTCTTCTGCTACAAACAATTTCCAACATTGAATAGCAGTTTTAGCATTCTGTCCAATTGGTTTCTTCCTCGGCAAGAACCTAATGACATCTTTTGAGCTAGTTCTAATGTCAGATATGCATGATCATTTTATGGCACTTTGACTAGTTATATACTTATGTGCATTGCTATTTTTCTCCTTGTATGAATCAAAGTCTTCATTCTGTACTTCTCTATCTGCCATACCCTGCTCTGTATCCCTGCCACAACTCCTTTGACTTCCGTGACCCAAGTCATCATGGGTATCTGCGTCACCTGATGAGTCCCTCTCACCCTTCTCCCAAAGCTATAAAAGTGGATTTTCATGTGACATTACACTGAATTGGGCTAATTCCTCAAGAACAAAATAATCAAAAGAGCTACAGAGATGCATGGCTCCTGTTACTCGAAAGCACATATTTTCATTAAAGAAATATGGTAGCTGTGTCTGTTACCCACTCTTCATGCCCCTAGGTAAAGGGAAGACAGATTTAATTTTGTTTCATGGTTTCAGTGCTTTCCAACATGGACAGTTGACACTTTTGCTTTGGGCCTCTGGTGAGGTACAACTCCAAGGCAGTGGAAATCTGCTCATGTCATGATGGCCAAGAAGCACAAGGAAAAGGAGAGAAAAAGCCCCAGTATCCCAGTGGGGACATGCCCCCAGTGGCCTATTAGCTAGTAGATCTTCCTTCCACTAGCCCCTGCCTACTAGAGGAAACTTCACTTCTTAATAGTGCTTTGGGCTGGGGAAGAGGGCCTTTGGGGTATATTTAAGATTCAGATCATAAGAGTATCCTCCTAAAACTCAAATGTAAAATACTAACTCAGAAGGTGAATAGTGTTAGGAGGTAAATAAGCCATGAAGACTAGCCCTCATAGTTTGGATCACCCACGAATGGGACTAGTACTCTCACATCAGAGCTGCATGGGAGCTCCTTTTCCCCTTTCATCCCTCAGGAATGCAGCCTGAGAGGACCACCTATGAAAGAGGAAATAGATCCTTATTGGACACCAAACCTGCCAGAACCTTGAGCTTTGCCTTTTTAACCTCCAGAATGGGGAAATACAAGTTTCTATTGTGCTAATCTACCAGTACTCAGAGATTTCTTTTTATAGCAGCTGAGCTAAGACATCAATTTTCCCCTCGCCCTCTTTTCCAGGTGTTAGAAAATATCTTTCAAATCTCACACATGTGCCACCCACTGAAATGATCATTTTATTGCCTTCCTTATCAGTGTAGTTCCACTTTTTCTGTTACAAAAGCAAAAAGTACCCAAGATTTTTGTATAGTGGAGCAACCTATATTTATTGAGAACATATTTGATAGTAGGTCATATTACTACCACCTTGTAAAAATACCAGAGCAGTTTAAAAACTTTCCCTTTTATGGATTTATCTAGGTGACCAAAAGCAAACAAGACAACAAAACCTAAGTTTATGATGTCTCTTAGATACTTAAAAATGAAAAGCAGAGAAAGGTTTGTCTATGTATGACATTTTAAAAATAAATTACTTGGAAATAATTTCAAACTTAAAAGCTAGAAGAATCAGACTAGTTAAAAAAAATCTGTATCTTTTGCTCCTCTACTGTTCAATTTTATCCTATTTACCTTTTTAATTCTTTTATTTTTAAAGAGAACAACAATTAGTAACAAAAAAGAAACAATAGAATTTTACTAAACAAAATGATAGCAATTCAGCAATAGTTATATTGCATATTGTTGTCTTCAAGTTAGTTGTTCAGATTGCCCAATATAAGTATGCAAAATTGGTTAAAATTTTTTTAAAGAGAAAAAAATTGGAGCTGGGGAGATAGCTCGGCAGTGCAAGGCCAGTGCAAGGAGCCAGGCTCAGTCTCCAGCACTACATGCCATGCTGGCTCTGAACCAACCTGGCCACCAAAGCCAGGCATGGTGGCGCACGCCTTTCATCCCAGCACTGGGGAGGCTGAGGTAGGAGGATCACTATGAGTCCAACCTATGTAATGAGACCCTGTACCAAATAAATAAGTAAATAAATAAATATTAAAAAAGAGGGAGAAAATTCAATCTTACCTCATTTACTTCATCAATTACTCTCAGTACACACAAGAACATACACACATTATTCTGAAGTGCCTTGAGAGTGGATTGCACACATTATGGCCAGTTGCCACCCAATAGGTCAGTGTGTATTTTTTAAGATTGGGGAAGTCTTTCACTTAATCACAGTGCACTTTTAACCTAATTTCTTATCCATAATCCAGTTTTTCAATTGGCCCACTATTGTCCTTGGAAGCATTTACTTCACCTCCAGTCAGAGCTTTGATCTCAATGCTCATTTACTGCATTTAGTGACATCATGCATTTCTAGTGTCACTTACTCAGGAGCATTTCCACAGCCTTTCTTGTCTTGACATTAGCGTTTTTGAAGAATTCAGTCAGCACCTGCTCCCTTCTTTTAATAGAACATTCCTCATTTGTCTACTGTTGCCTCCTAACCAGATTTAGGTGAGATTCCAGGCCAGGACACTTCATAAATCACTCTGCTTCCTTCTTGAGGTGTAACTTTGGAGGTGTGTGTTGTTCATTTACCCCCTATGGGTAAGATTAAATTTGATAGCACAGACAAGAGCTTGCTCAATTTTTTCACTGCATAGAGACTATCTTTTCCCTAAAAAATTATAAGCAACCTGTGGGTAGCTATTTTAAGATCAACTCTCAGTAAACCATTAATATTTGCTCATTAAAATTTCCTCTAGTTTAGTATCCTTTGGTTATTTTTGCTTTAACCAATTTATTTGCTATGATGGCTGAAAAAATAATGGTTTTCAGATTCCTTTCAGAAAGATCTCATTCCACATTTACCAGTTGGTATGTGGCACTCTGCAATAAAAAACACACCTCCTTATCCATCATTTACTTGTCTATTAATTTTATGGATTTGGGGGGCCCTATTTTTTCCTAGTTTCTCATTTTCTCAAGTATTTTGTACTCAAATTGTCTCAAGTTTGGCCAATAAGAAGTTCTTCCTATTGGGATAACATGACTTTGAACATTTTTGTATGTTCTGGTATAGTGAGCTATTTCAGGCTCATCCTGTATGTCCTTGGCCCTTGCTTTGGAGTCAGTCAGCTGTTCCTCCAAGGATCTTTCTTGCTTCCAGTAGGGAATGGTGGTTGACACCAAGAGCTGAGTGCTAGATGGGCTCTTTCCTGCTATGGAGTCTTTTTCTTTTAAGCTTTTTTGATGGTCAGAAGTAGGAAATGTACCATGTATATCCATATCCATATCCTTAAATATGTGTGTGTATCAAACACAAGTATGCATGTGCAATTATACATACTTACACATAGCCTATAAAACATGAGTTTTAAATTGATTCCATTCTACTCCTGCAAGGTTCTTTCCTTCTTCCCTTTCACGTTTGCACTGTATTCCTCTACATTGAAATGCTAGCTCCATCAATATCGACATATCTTGTAACTTACTCAGTTGTGTTACACAGTCCTGTTTTCACCGAGGCACAGTGGCCCTGCATTCTTGCCTATAAAAAGTCATCAGTCCCAGTAATAGCAACTCGAAAGAAAGGAAGACATTCACAAAGTCCTGTTTAATAGTGCAGCAGCTTTATTCATAGTGGCCAAAATCTGGTAACAGCAGAATTGTCTCACAGAAAGATTGACAGATAACTGGCACATCCATATCATGAAATACGATCTGGCAATACTAAAGAGCAAACTGAGATTCCATGCAACAGTATGAATACATTTGAAAGTCATTATGCTGAATTTAAAAAGGCAGCCAGAAATGAATAGATAATGCCTGATTCCACTAACATGCTTGGGCAAATCTAACCTATGGTGATAGGATTGAATCACTACTGCACTTGTTTTTTGGGGGGCAGGACAGGGCTGGACACTGCCTGGGGTGAGGCTTGCAGTGGCTTCCTGGAACACAGAACATGTTTTGTGTCTCAATCATGAGTTATTCAGTGAAGCATTCAACTCTGCCTTTAACATCTTTACATTTCACTCTCTGAATTAGCCCTCAATTAAAAACTAATTGACTGGAGTACAAGCTGCTCATTTCAGCTGAGACTGAAATCTTTGATTGAAGTACCTTCTTCTGCTGAGTTGCTTTGCTTCTGAGTCTTCTACCTAATAATTCTCCTGGCCCCTGAAAATGTACAGGTGTGCTACCCCTGATCAACACTTCTGCTTCCTTTTAAAGTCTTATTACTGTTTGATGATTATTTTAAATAATCACAGTCCAGGATCGGTCAGAATATCACGAATAATTAGTAACATTGTCAAATTAGGTACGGCCGGTGCATATGCTTTAATACAGAGAAGACACTTATGCAAATTGAAATGTTTAAATAGCAGCAAATTTTAGACTAATTCTCAACTTAAACCTTTGCCAATCTAATGGGTGAAGATGAAGTCCAAAAGAAACAAGTAAACTTAGATCTAGTCAGATCTTCACAATGAAAACAACTGCTTTTCAAGATAAATGATCACATATTACTTCCGTGAGGAAATGATTTTCTCAAACCTTCTCATAAATTCTGGTGCAGATCACGCCCTTCATCATGCATTCCTTAAAAGAGAGAGACAGACAGATTAATTGAGTAACTAAAACAAATCAGAGGACAGCAAATTTGAGATGAAAATAGAAATTCCAAACTCAGGAATAAAATATCAGAATGCTAATCCCCAAGTAATTCAGAATGATGACCACCAAAATTGGAGAAAAGACTTTAAAACTGATCTGTGTTTTTCTATAGGAATTTAAAAATATGTGTCAAACTTCTCAAAAGGTGGAGTGAAAATAACTAATATAGACATGGAACAGTGTTTAGTATGACACAGGGAGTAAACTTTGGCTATTAGAGAAGAAGTACAAATAAAAACAACAGTGGTATTTTATGGCTCTGATAAGAACGGTTATCACTGAGGACTCAAAAAGCAATGCATGTAGGTGAGGCTGTGGAGGAAAATAGAACCCCTCTATAGTGTTGGTAGAAATATAGACTCGTATAATCACTGTAGAAATCAGTATAGAGATGCCTCCAAAAACTAAAAGTATTAATTTCATTTAACTAAGCTACACCTCTTCTAGATATCATCCCTAAAGAGTTAAAGTCATCATATCACAGTGATGCATGTGCACTTGTATTTAAAGCACAATAATTCACAATTGCTAAATTATGAAAAAAACCTATACACTCATCAACAGATGAAAAGAAAATTGACATGCAGCATGGAGCACTACTCAACCATAAGGAAGAATCAATTTGAAGCACTTGAAAGAAAAGGGATGGATCCTGAGACCATAATGCTAAGTAAAATAAATCAGAAACAGAAGATTAAGTACTACCTGGTTTCTGTTATGTAGGAGACCAAAATATAAATAATTTAAAAAGTAAAATAAAAGAGATGGTAGAAAACAAGAAGATAGACTTTGGGAAGATAGGAAGAGGATCTGATGAAATGAGGAGAGGAGGGTAGAGAGTGGGGGAAGGAGGGCTAAAAATGCCAAGGTGTGTCACATACATCTACCAGTTCCCTACTAGGAGTGTAAAAGAAGCGGGCAAGTTGCAGTCATCATTTGTGTGCATAAATCTACACAGTGGTTTTCAAAATTATTTGCACATCAGCCACTGGTGTTACTGGGAAACAACGAGACACATGGTTTCATACTGGGCCCTCCACATGGAAATATTTTCCCATGTAATTCTAGGGCAGCACAGGCTAAAGCCACTGCACTAAAGAAAAAGCATGCAAAATATTCCATGAGTGCATTTACTTCCAATTTATGTATTAATTAGTAAGCACAGTAGTCCTCTCATGTAATCACTGTCATAATTCTTCTCTAAAAAGAGATCTCGAAGACAAGATCTAAGATCGTAAGGAGATCTCTATGAGAAAAGTGAGCTCTTCCAGGAGCTCAATTTGCCCTACCACCATGGTTTAGTCCAGGTTGCTGTAGAGTCTTTAAAGCAAAATGTTTGTATGGCTGCAAATGGCCTATAGCCAAACTTTGTGAGGTATGCTTTGCTTTTAAAATCAGGCTTACTTTGTCATTTGGAATTCAAGCTAGTGATATTTAGCCAGGCTTTCTTTAACTTTACTTTTATCCTTCTGATGTTCTTATTTCTAAAATAATCATGGTTTTCCTATGTTAAAATCTTGCTTGTACTTGAAGATGAATCTTTATGGTTTAAAAATTACTCAGGCATTAACTCTGACTTTATTCGCAGCCATTTTTATTTGTGTTTCAAAGGTCATTTTGAAAGTAATAAAACCAATCTCTTCATATAGCATTATTTCTGAAGTTAGACTTCAAAGCACTCTTACCACTACCATTTTTCCATCCACCAGCTTTCTCTTTATTATTGTCTCTTTGCCGTCCCACTTCTGCACTTGATTTAGAAGGCCTCGCTCCAAGGTGACCACACTCTGAAAAGACAAATTCATATACTTGGCCCCCTGGACTCTGGCTGGTCCAACAAGGAAGCATTGTATTCAGTACTGAGCCAGTTTTGTAGTGGCTTCCCATGCAGCACCTTCATTTTTTAAATATTAGCAATTCTTTCTCAAATAAGTGACTAAACTATCTTTAAAGCATTAAAAATTACCTTAGTTTTCCTATTATCAGCTGTGGTTTCTTCAAATTCCTGGCCCAGTTTGAAAGAGATCTCTGTGTTTTTAAAGGTGCTTTCAGTTCGGATGGTTATATAGTCCCCTTTCTTGCTGATGATCACGGTTGGCTTGGCCAAATTTCCTAGTTTCCTGGTGGCTAAGCCCACACCTGTAAACCAAGGCAGGGTTAGAATCTTGGCTACTAGGAGCCACTAGCCACATTCTGCTACACAAGGAGGATGCATGTCTGGGACCCTATTCCAAAAGTAATGTCTGAAGATTTGAGAAAGTAAAATTGTTCAGTTGCAAGAGTGGAAGTTGTTTACTGTTACCACATTCAATCCTGCTCGCCTCAGAAATGAGTTTCTATCTATTTGTATGAAACACTGAAGATACTTGAGTCTGTACATACAAATTTTGTAGATTTGCTTTAATGAGACTATGACACATACTGTTGTCTGATATTTTCATTTTTAATAATACATTGTGAATAGAAAGGATATCCCTTGATAGAGTGTCGTTTCTCAAATTTTGTGACTCCTAAGTCTTATGAGTAGGAAAACATAATCCATCTATGGTCTACATTTGTACAATTGCAAAAGATGATAGAGGAATAAAAGTATTTTTTCAAAGTTCATCTACTTTAGAAAAATCAAAATTAGGTTTATGTTTTATTACTATTTTTCCAAAAGTATAGAAATATATGGAAAAAGTGAAATTCCTATAAGAACTATATGAAATAAAAATCAATTTCTGAGAGTCTAGTTGCAAAAAAAGGGTATGTTACTAAAGAAATGAAGAGTTGCAGGAAATAATCCGAACTTTTTACTTTTTCCTAATTTTTATTAATCATTTGTTATTTTCTGTGACTTAAGACAGAGTTTTTCAAACTAAATAATAATCTCTGGTTTAAAGCCTGAGAATCTATGTTAAGTAATTCCCCAAGAGCTTTGTGTGCTCTAAAACTTAGACCCTCAGCAAGCCTTCCTTGTGTTTTGCCTTTTCCTCAGCTTCAGAGTGAAAGTCATAAATCTATCCTGCATTATAGTGCGGGCCCCTTACCCAGAAGTCTCCAAAGACGTTTCCTATCTAGTATGTTCACATTTATGAAACATTCTCTTTAGAAACAGTAAAAAATAAGGTCGTAACTAATGGCTGGGTCTTCTGTCTCCATTTACTATTTTAATACCAGGAAAGCCTGCCATTAGTGAAACTATGTTTGAATTCATTGTCCCAACACCCATTCTTTTTTCCTCTCAGTAACTTTCCTGAACTGTGAACATTCTAGTGTAGAAGACATGGTCATTTCCAAACTCTGCATTTTGACATAATTATGTAATCATGAACAACCTAAAAGTAGAGAAAGAGAAAAATTTCAGTTTGGCTAACATCAAAATTTTAAAGACATTCTCCAGCATTCAGTTCTTCATTTTATGAGTACCTTACTTGTTATAAAGCCAAAGTGGAGGATGGGTTGAGTAAGATCTTTAGTTTTTTTTTAGGTGTCCAGTGAAAATCCACTGGTATGAAACCACCCTTGGAATCAGGGTGAGTTCTGTGCACTGAAGTAGCTTCATTTAGATTCTATTAAAATGCCACAAAATATGAATAAATCATTTGAAAGACTCAAGAGATTAATCTGAGAAGAGAATTGAACTTCATCCTGCACAATCTTACCCAAACTGTGATAAATGATAACAGAAGGAAATTCTCAGAAAAGGTCCTCCGAGCCAGGAGAAAGAGCATTTCTTACCCAGAGCTTTCATGTAATCATCAAAGCGCTCACTGGAGATGAGTTTCCAGGTGCCCAGGAATTTGTTGCTCATTGCAGGAGAAGAGAGTCGGACACAGTTCTAGTGGGATTTAGGAGGCTGGGAAAGAGGCTGAGGCCTCAGGAGGTTCTTTTCAAGGCCCACAAAGCATGTGACCTCCCTAGAGGCCCAATGGGGAAGGCGGTGTCAGGACTAGACAGTGAATGGCTCTTCAGTCATCAGCTGCCCATTCATGGGGCTGAAAGAAAACCCCACATAATGTTTCCTTTTGTTTCAAACAAATGTCATTAAAATGAATGAGGGTACTATTTATTTAAATCTTCAAAAAGTTTGACTGCTCTTAAATTTATAAAAATACCTAGGTCCTTATACACTGGAGAGGACTCTATGGATTATATGATTGTGAATGAGTGAGTGCGTGCGTGTGTGTGTGTGTGTGTGTGTGTGTGTGTGTGTGTTGCATTTAGACACCTTAGCAACTCTGGATCCTGAGATTGCAAGACTAAGAATTCTTACTGAAAGGCAAAAAGAGAGAAGAAAATGTCCATGAGTATTGTCTTAAGAGTCTCAGCTATGTTGTGGGAGAGAACCGCAGGACAGCAGTGTGGGGACGCATTCAGAGGTGAGGGAGGCTTGGCATAGCTCGCATATCCCAGGCAGGCAGAGTAGGCAGACAATGAGATCAGTCTATCGCAGCAGAGTACAGGAGCTCTATTCATGTGGTAGGACAAGAAGCAGTACTGTGATAGTTCTTTGACTACAGCTAAGATTTTCATATAAAGAAGTCTTAAGCTCAAACTAAGCAAGTTCTTAGTTACCATGACAACTTTAAGTCTTGTAAGATAAATCCACAGTCTTATATAAAGAAAAGATTTCTATAAAAGTAATACTAGAGATACTGAGAGCTGACCATGGACCTGTCACTGTGCTCTGCTCTATCCTATCACTCACTCCTGTCCATGCTCCAAGAGCTAGGTGCAATTGTTACATCCATTTTAGGAGAAAGGAAAGCAAACTCAGGGAGGTCAGGTAACTTGCTGCCAAAATTTGAGTAAGGAGAGGCAGAATTCGGGCCCAGCTTCATTCCCTAGTGTCTCCAACTTGCATGTATGATATCTCACACCTGATGTAAATGCAGATGCTAGCCAAAGATCAAAGATCATACTGACATCAACATGGTTGTCCAGCAGTACTCACCTCAAACGTCCAAAGAGGTGATGTCTCAGTTACTCTTCTCTGGTTGCTGGGACAAATACCTGACATCAAAAATGAAGGAAGGAAAGACTTATTTAGCTCACAATTACTGGAGGGTTCAGTCCAGACTCAGCTGGCTCCAAGGCAGAGTGGCACAGGGTAGAGGCAAAAGCAAGAGAGCAAAAGGGTAGGAGCAGTGGCGGCAACAATGGCAACAGAGAGGAAGTCTGTCTCTCTGTGTCTCTTGCGTTTCATTCAGGTTATCCACCTCAACCTAGGAGTAGCACTCACACCCATAATTCTCATAGTACTCAAACCCATAATTCCAGGCTTGGAATTATGGATCATCCATAATCCCAGGGGATCATGAGTTAATCACAAACTCTAGAAGTCTGCCCTATGACTGCATGAGGCTGAGGGGGACACCTAGAGATAAACCATGACGGGTGATAATCAAAAGATCCTGGTAGGTATGTTGCTTCAGAGTCCCACTCTTTGATCAGGGGGAGCAAGTAAAAATCCAGGTCAAGCTTAAATATTGCTCTAGGGAAGTATAAACATGAACATTGAAATATGCATATGTTGCCAAGGAAGAAAGAGTATGACACTGAAGCAATTTTAGACCAAGAGATGGATTGTCTACTTTAGGCTAATTGGCAGATGTACCTGACTCCTGAAACTGACCAGATGACTTTGGACCAAGATGAGAGTATGAGGTCAAAGTACAGACCAAAGGCACAGGTCAAAGCAGGGCAGGAGATCCAGCTTAACTAGGCTGCAACATTAGGGAACTCCTAGAGTCTTAGTCATTTTTCTCATCACTGAGTCAAGATACCTGATGATCAGGAGAGGCTTATTTGGGCTCACATTTCAGTCTGTAGTCAGCTGGCTGCAAGACAGCACAGCATCGCACAGGGACATGGTGGAGGAGGAGCTGCTCACCTCATGCAAGACAGGCAGCAGAGCGAGATCCAAGGAGGAACTTGGGTGGGGCCTTCCAGGTCCCAGCCCCAGTGACCTCCTCTCCTGACCTGGCCACACCTTCTAATAGCAGTCCACTGTGGTGTCCTTGGAATTCAGTCACCTTCCCAGTGCCCCATCTTTGAGCACTTGAGGTTTTTAGGGCACATTTACATATAAACCATAACACCTTGCTAAGAAAGTCATCATACCCTAGCAAGAAAGAACATGTAGTGAAGACCGGAAACACATTACAACCAGATGAGAATATCTAAATGTTAGGTAAATAGATATAGTTCTTCTATAAATGGATTTTGTCCTTCACCTTTCAGCAATCCATTGCCCATATAAAGCCTCGAGATTCAGGGGCATTACTGGCATTGTATATTGAAAAGAATACCCAGTGATCCAAGGAAGATGGATAAGGAAAGCGTGCTTTATATAACATGCAATGCTAATGTCCTTTACCTATGTTTTCAAACTATATCCAATTGTAGTTTTGGAAGGGATATCAACCATTATGCAGTAAATGAGCAAAGTCCTCATGATTATCCATTTGGATGCCAAGTTTCATTTATTTTATTATAAAGGTATTTATTAAGAGCCTACTATGTGCCTAGAACCTTAAACATCACTGAATAAAAATTTCCACTTTCATGCCAAGGATACAGTTCAGAGGCTCAAGCACTTAGCTGGCAAGCACAAGGTCCTGAGTATGATTCCCAGTACAGAAAACAATCAAAACTTTTAACCTTATTCTCTAGTTAGGAAGGCATAGCTTAAAGTAACATTTGGAGACAAATGATACCCACCTATTTTTCTGGATTATTAGCAGAGGGGGACAATATGAATTCTACTGAAGAGGCAGCAGATTGATTGTGCCTGCATAGGAAGATGTTTTATGTAATATCTTAGCCACCACCATGAGCAAACGATCAGGACTCAGCAGCCACGTGCCTGCTGCCTTTCCAAGATACTGTAGGCCTGTTACCCACATTGCCCTCTTTCAAGCTCCAGATAAGCGTTTTTCTTCCACTTTAATAGCGCCAACATTAAAATTACTTTCTTAGTGCAAACTATCTCTTCTGAATTCCTTAGCTACCAGTGGAGAGTCTTTTGGTTACTATGGTGATGGTCGCATTTACGGTACCCCAAAAGCAATTAACAACTTTCTTTTACTGAATGGCAATGCAGAGATGGAAGAAATAGTTTGTGATTTGTCAAAAAAAAATCCAATTTTTTTTTTCCTGGAATCTAACATGCGTGGTCCCTTTTCCAAACGTTAGTCTGAGACTTCACATTTTATTATTACTAGTAGAACACCTGAGAAATGAAGTTACTGGGAAGGGAATGAAAGTTAGAATTTCTGCATTTCAGTTTCTTTCTCTGGTCATTACATAGCGCAGCTGAGCTTCCTCACTTTTCCTACTCCCTTTGCTTGGCCTCTGGAGAGAAAGTGCTATTGACAATTTCCCAACACATTCCACTAGATTGTACTTTTCAGGCAGTGGCCTAAAAAACTTGAGATACTTTGAGAACTTAGCCCTTGGTTCCCACATTGCTTACAGAGGAAGTGAATGCCTTACAATAATTTATGTGTGCTGGCCGTGCCCACCTTAATCCCAGCTATGTAGGAGGCTAAAGCAGAAGGTTTGTAAGTTCCAGGCCAGCCCCAGCAATTCAGAAAGAACGTGTTTCAAACTAAAAGCACTGGGAACATAGCTTAGTGATACAGTATTTGTCTAGCATGTGAGAGGCTCTGGGTTTAATCCTCAGTGGTGTAAAAAAGACCAAACAAAGCATTTTAAAATATTGTGAACAATGCATGCACGTATGAGTGTCTAACATGATTTTTTAAAAAAAAAATTTGTTGGAACCCAGACATAAGGAGGGTGAGGTCTTCGACACCAGGAAAGAGATAGCAGATTTCAGAGCAATGCAAGGCAGAACAGAAAGCAGTGGTCTCACCGATTTTACCAAAAATCAAAGCTGTTTCTCAGCTCCGGGGCTACCTGCAATCCTTTTTGCTCTGACAAATGGAATTTATCCTCATAAATTAGTATTTCAAATTTCTTATTAAGAACCTAATTAAATAACTGATACATTAAAAAAGAAAGAAAAAAATGTGTTGGATTTTCATTATTTGCAGCTTTATTAAAGTACAATTTACTACAGAATGGCCTAAATTTGAAGTATACGGTATTATGTATTTTGCTAGGTGCATCAATGTGATGAAACAATTAACAAAGTGAAGCTAATTCATATATTCGTGACCTAATATATTTACAATATTTTATTTGTAATGAGAACATGCAAAATTTGCTCTATTAACCAGTTTCAAAGTTAGAATACAATATTATTATTAACTATAGTCACTGTGTTGCGTCAGATCTTCCGGCTACTTCCTCCTACATAACCAAAGCTTCCTGCATCTGAACCCCTCCGCTCTCTTGTTTCACACTCCACCTCGCAGCACGCTAGCTCATACTTTTGAAGGTTAGTTAGACTTTCAGGCTTCACACGGAGCTGAAGGAACAAATACAAACTCTGAGAAAGTAGAGTGATGTTTTAAAATCACAGGTGAGCCAAACCAAGCAACCTACTTAGTTGCCTATTTTATTTTTTCCATTGCTTTCAAATTGAAGTGATGTCAAGGCTGTAAGAGATGGTGTAGTTAACTGGTGATCTCGTTATAGAGAGAAAAGATTTTAGATTGAATAGATCAGAGTATTAACTAAGTTCACGTAAAGTGTGTTTTCTTTTATTCAGGTAATCCAAATTATTTTGTCAAACAATTGAAAGCTATACCCATGGTTTCACTCCAGCCCAGAACATGCCTGTGACTGATGAGACACTGTAAAGATGAAATCTTTTGCATTTTGATCAGACCCAGACTTACACCAGCTGCTGCGATTAACCCCGGGATTTCGGCGGCTTAGGTACGAAGGTTAGTTCTGGTTTGATGTGCAGCCGGTGTAGGGATTCTTTGTTGATAGGGAGCTTTTCTCCATGAGGTCACTCAGAGGGCTTCGACCCATCTACCTGGTGCCAGCACCACACCCGTAGTGTTCACAGGCAGGCGCGAATCGCCCTTGATGGTCGTGTGACACTTCTATCCAGGTGCCAGTACAGACAGAGGCGGCGCGGAGCCCCGCAGCGCCTGCCTTGGAGACGCCCTTGGCAGAAGCGCAGCGCTGCTACGGAAGAGCGATCCCGGGTTCGCAGCGGACAGTGAGTCCTCTCCACGCAGTGACATTCAGATAGCGCTACTCAGAGCCCTGATGGTACTTCTCAATGCAACAAGGCGATGCTGTCGTGAAGTTGGAGTGACTCCGACCCAGCTTTGTGACCTACTAGATGGATGGCATTTGGGTTCAGTTTTGTCACGTGTAAAAAGTATTGATTGGAGGATCAGGAAAGAGTACTTTTGTGAAGTTGCTTTGTGACTTACTATTGTAACTTTTTTAAAACAAGCACCTACTGAAATCTGAGCTATGCCGTACCCAGTTAGCCACACTCCACTTCCGCTCGCTGCCCCCGAGCCTGTGCCTGTGGAGCGGCTCACCGCCTCTGTTCCAAGCGCAGCTCCGCCGCGATGCTCCCGCGCCCGAGTCCCTGCTTGCCTTTTGGTGACCTGCTCACTCTGTTTCTCCTCTTCCCGTGCTTAAGTATCATCAGAGAAGGAAAGCGAATGACCCGCGCTGGTCTTTTTCAGAACATGCTTTTACCCTGACCTCATCCTGAGAAGTGGGTAAGACTTCGTTTTGCAAAGGAGAACAAATGTGAGTAGTGGAGCCGCATCTGCGGACCGCCGGGGAGCCAGGCCAGCCCTTACAGGGCCCCCCACGCCCCAGCGCCTTTCACTGTAGGCCTCTGTCCTGTCAGAGGGGCTGCGGGCTAGAGGGACCCAGTCTAATCTCCTGTGTATCCTGCCTGGATATCGAATTTCAAAAAGGACAGACTATACTGGAGTCTAAAATCTCAAAATAGATATTATGAGAACACGTAATTTTACATCTTGATGCTTCATACTAAGGCTCCGTCTATTTTTGGTTGCTGTCTTTGGAATAGTCAGTCATTTTTTTTTTTTTTTAGGTTCTTGATTTTTTTCATTTGTGTATTTGGTAGAAGATCTTACTACACAGCTCAGACTCGTAGTGATCCTCCTGTTTTCAGCCTCCCCAGTGCTGGGATTACAGGCCTGCGCCACCACGCCTGCACGGGGTCACGGGCTCAGCACATCCCGTGGGCAGGGCCAGCGTGGCCAGGTGGAACTGGGGATCAACCCTCGTCCCTGCTCTTGCCAAAACAGGCATTTTGTCTGCTGAGCTATCTCGCCAGCTCAAGGTTCCTAATTTTTATTAGCATATGTTTGAAATACACAATAACTAAATTTCTCTTTTTAGGGCCATGAAGAAAAGTATGTGCTCTTATGTTTACGGCATTTTGGGTACAAAAAGTAAGGAAATTAAGCATTACTAAGAATAATGACTTACGTCATTTACTTAAGTCATTACTAATGACTTAATGTCAATTACTAATGACATTATTTTTGTCATTGACTTCCTAAATAATATTAAGTAGCAAAAGAGGAAATCTGGTGAATTATCTTTGGGTAATAATATTAATGTTGGCATAGTGTAATCAATTTTTGGGTAATTACCATTTCCTTCTCAAACTTCCATGTAAAATATTTTATAGGTCAATGTTCAAAAGAAAAACTTCCATATAGATCTAAAGCATAATGTTTTATTCCTGTTATTCAGGCTAAAAAATTCAAAATAAAATATATTTCTCTCTATGGCTTATTAAAGTGTTTATCATTTCTTTTATTTCAAAACCTCTTGGAAAGAATAAATGATGACTTTTGATTGATCAATTTATGTCATGAAAAGATCCATTAGTACCCTCCATTACAATTTGATAAACATATTTCATTTCTTGAGAGAGATGGTAATTGTAAGGCAATTTAGAAGTATCCAGAGATTGATTGTATAAAAATTCTTAGTAACAACTAATAAATCTCATTATAATTTTTTTTGAATTACAGAAATGTTGACATGATTTATCTGACAATGCAACTAAAGGATCACTACTTCACAATTGCTTTGCCTCATAAAATCCTAGAAGGCACCGCGAACTCCTTGTGTGGTGTATGACTGCTCTCCAGCACAGGACACTGTCAGACACACAGGAGCCATGGAGAAAGAGTTTGTTGAATGAGATTTCCTAAAAAGCAGTGTGTTTGATAAAACTCCCAACATCCAGGCTTTTTATCTCACTCACGCTGTCTGAGCTGTGATACTTACACTTTTCATAATTATACCTCAGTAAAGCCAAAGATTTACATGAGTAAGTATCCAGTGCTTTTCTCTATCCCAGGGGTTGTGGCAAATGCTCTGACCTCTGGTAAGGAGATATTAAAGTGGCCATCACCCCAGCTCCCTGCAGAGCCTGAGGAAGCAAGCATTGCTGTGTTCCCTGTGCCCAGGACAGCACCACGGCTGAAGCCTCTCTGACCCCTGAAGAACACACATGCTCACATTCTGCTCACACTGGAGCTCTTCAGGAGGGAGCAGGACAATCCTGTGGGGAGTAATGTACCTGCTCAGCTGGCAGCTCTCAGCCAGAGCCAAGCCTGGCATTTGAGCACAGTTGAATGCTCAGAGGTCTTTAGGTCTAGGAAGGCAGCCCTAGCTCCTTCCCTTGGCCAGGAAGTCAGGTCCTGCCCCAGCCTCTTGCATTAGTCTTTCTGTTCATTACTCTTCACTGCTACCCCTCCTAAGGTGGCCATACCTAGTATGCCTACAACAATCTTCCTTTTCCTGCTGTGTAGGGGCCATTCTTAGTAGAATCCATTTTCACTTGAAAACACCCAATTTGGATGGCAAATTATATGGATCACCTACATTAATGGATGCATACTAAATATCACTCTTAGGAATCAAATTTGATCAATTACTTTCCACTTTTAAATTGAAGGGACAACATAATTATTTACTTAAATTTCTCTTCTTCTTGTCCCCTCCCACTGGTATATATGGTGTCTGTTTGGGGGGAGGGTGTTTTGTCTTTTAATTTTACCTCCATTTCTCTATTTCATTCTGGAAACTGAGATCAATCAAATGATCACTTAGTGATTGCATTTGGTGAAATATGGAGGGACTTTATGTAGCTCTAAAAGTTATATTCTCACTGGACATTTACACAGGTGAGAGACTGGTGTTTAGCAACATGCCACTTTGTGAGGGTTGAGTCATAAACAGTAGTGTTGGATTCACTAGCCTGGTAATTTTAAATGGAAGGGAAACAATGACTGTTGTAAGTACTCTTCTTTACAACTCAGTCTCCATGTGATCTATTCCATCTATCTATCTATCTATCTATCTATCTATCTATCTAGCCATCCATCCATCCATCCATCCATCTACCATCTATTTATCATTGTCACCTCATTATCTATCTTCCTTAAGATATACTTCTATAAAGATAAAACTCCATACTACTGGTTTTCAGCATAGGTGCTTCTCATCAGACTGTCCCAAACCCTCATTAACAAATAACCTCAAGGCTGCATTTGGTTTGATTCTTTTATTGAGCAAATTTCTACTAAGAACTTTCTAAAAATCACTTGCTCACAGCATATTTTCTTCAAGCACCAGTCTCCTGTTAGTGAACGAGTGTTCCCTGAGGCAGATTCCTCTTTCACACTTTTTCGAAGGTGCCAGTGCTGACGACATCGTTCATGGTGTACTCCTAAAAGCAAGGGGCAGCTATTCGCATCAGTGGTCAACAGTAAAGCTTGTCCCACTTCTCTCTCCCCAGATCAAACCCTCAACTTGGCATACAAAAACAAAGGAGTAGCTTGACAGGCATGAATCAAATAGAAGCACTTAAGAAACCCAGGAAACTCACCGTTACCATGTTTCCGTCTACAATTTTTCTTTTGATCGTCGTTTCTTTGCCCTGCCATCTTTGGACGTGAACCATTGAGCCGTTATCTAGTGTTACAACACTCTACAAATGCACGGGGAAATAAGTTAGAATTAGCAACATGGAGTCTTCCAACCCATGCACAGCTAGACTGCTGCCATTTGACTTATATTTCAAATCTGATTCTTCAAAATTCTCAGTTTGGTTTGTGTCATAACTTCATACAACCAAACTAGAATTCTCAAGGGATTAGTCAATTACTGTTTTCTCTATTCTATTCTGAGCACTGAGGCAACAATTCCTAATCTACTTGTGCTTAACTGTTCCTTTCTGCATAAATATACAGTGAGAAAGCAAGCTCAGGAAAAAAGAAAATTAAAACTATTTGAATCTTACAGCCATATTAAAACATCAGAAATGATTGGCTGAATAGACTGAGTTTAGAGATGTACAGATGTTTTTAAGCACCCAGAATGAATTGGTAAATGGCAAATTACACAGAAAGTAACAAGCCTAACCACCTTTGAGTTTTTTTCTTATGATTAAGCACCAGGAATATTTAGTTCTGACCTTCGTTTTCCTGTTGTCTGGGGTTGTTTCATCAAATTCTACTCCCAGCTGGAAGGAGATAACTGTAGTTTTGATGCTTTCTGTTTGGATGGTTACTGTGTCCCCCTCCTTACTAATAAGCAGGTTCACCTTTGCTGATGCCATTGCATTCCGAGTTGCAGCATTCACTCCTGCAAGACAGAGAAAGTAACACCTTATTCAGATGAGCTAACCAGCATTTTGGCAAACCATTTGTACAGAACAGAGACACTGGATCCCCAGCGCGCTGTGCTATCCTGGCCCCAGGGTGCACTGAGATAGCGACTGAGACTGGGTGTGGTGGTACCCACCTGTAACCCCAGCCCTTGGGAGGCTGAAAGCAGAGGAATCACTACAAGTCCAATCTGTGTAGTAAGACCCTGTAGACCCTGTACTAAATGCATAAAAAAAAAAAAGAACAGAAGCATGGGAAATTTTTGATAATATAGAGTTTCTTCTATGTTCTCTGTGAACTCCCAAAGTATAGCTAATGGTACTAATATTTTTAAATGCCCAATTCACTTTCTGAGGCAACTGTGCCTCATGTAAAATGCACATTTGCACAGTGCCCTCCAGGAGGTGAAATGCTTGCACTTCCCCTGTGGAATGTTACAGAAACAACAATGTTTGGCTTAAAACCTGGCTCTGTTGTCCGGGTCAGGGATTTTCCATTATCAAACTTGATCCCTAATATATCTGGCCAGAGGAGCTGGCTCCTTCTCCCTCTGAATCCATATCTCACACTAGTTCCCACTCAAGCTGTTGCAAAGAGAAGCAGAGAAGCAGCGTTAGTCGTGTGGATTGAAAAAAATGAAGTTCTGAGAGCCTAGCTCCAACTTTGCCAACCACTAGCTGGACCTGTTGCACATCTTCTCTGCCCTTCTGTTTTCTCAACAACACAATGTGGATAACTAAGAAAGCACGGTAGCAGGCATGCACAGAATCATAGCACTCCGCAAGGCTTTGATCCAGCCATGGCAAGTGTGACACTTACTGAGACTCTCTCTCAAAATACCAAGGGCTGGGGATGTAGTTCAGGGCAGAGGCGCTGGGTTTGGTCCCTAGTACTATGAAAAAAAATGTGGATAAGTAGTACTCAAGTATGTTGTAAGATTAGGTGAAAGGATTTTACCATGGTACTAGCACAAGGTAGTGTCCAGTTAATATGTTTGTGCTGTGCCTAATACATCTCCCAGTCAGAATGGTTACTTTTCTGGCTCCAAGTCCCTGGTTGTTTTTATTCCTTGAAATTTTAATTTAATGCAAAGGAGTTTACAAATCATTGAAGAGATAGGGAAACCTTTTATTACTCCCTAAAAAAATTAATATAGATACAAGAGAAGGGCTAGATACTATATTTATAAGCATATTGACTTCTTATCATGAGAGATAAAGCATTGTGTCATTGGGTAGAATTAGTCAATACATTAACAGTTGTAGGCATTCATTGATCAAGGATAGTTTAAACAGTGAAGACTGTGTGGCTTAAATTAATATGAAAAATATTTAATAATTACCTTTCTCCTAGCATTCATCAAAATAGTTGTCACTGTTACAGATCCAACCCATTGTAACTGATGTTTGGTCAGCTAACATTTTTTTTTTTTTTGTATTTTTAGGGAAGGGTCTACAGGGTGTTCAGGGTCTCACTACTAGATTGGACTCATAGTGATCTGCCTGTGTACAGCCTCCCAAGAGCTGGGATTATAGGCGTGCACCACCACAGCTAGTCTTAGTCAGCTGACTTGAGTTAAAGAGAAAGGAGAGATGGTATATATATACATTCCTGAGAAACATCCAGGGAGTAAATTACATGCCAGTAGTAAAAGTGTCTGTTTTTCCCACAAAAATTAAGCGTTCTTCAAAATAATGTTAATATCTCTTACATAAATGAGAACTCTAAAAATTAACTGGCCAGATTTTTTTCTTTTTTCTTTTCTTTTCTTTTCTTTTTTTTTCTTTTTTTTTTTTTTTTTTTTGGTACAAGGTCTCGCTACCCAGCTGTCTCTCGCCTCAGCCTCCCCAGTGCTGGGATTGCAAGTGTGCACCACCGCACCTCCAGCTTGGCAGGAGGCCAGCATGGCATGCAGTACCCTGGATTGAACCCAGGTCCTTGCATTTGCTAGGCAGTGCTTAGACTGTCATGTTATCTCCTCAGTCCAAAAATTTTGTTTATTGCTACTGCTTTTTAAAGTTGTAATTTACAGAAAACCTTGAAACAAATTTAATAGTTACATTTAATTATATTCTGAGATTATTAGGTATAAACCTGAAGCTGAAGAACACTGTTCGCTGAAATGCCGAAGTTAAAGAGAAATTCTATCGAGAGGTTAGCATGATGAATTTTCAAAAATAATAAATGGGCTTAAAGACATGGATTATAACTAGAGAGACTTTGTGAATCTAGTATTTAAAAAAAGACACAATTATTATTCATAATAAGGAAAAACACATGTATTAATAATATGAAATGGAATCACAAATTATCTTAGTCTCATATGCATAAATTTCAGGATCACAAAAGAGAGAATTATAGGAAAATGAATTATAAAGTGCGAACACCACCACACTACAAAGAGCTTCCGAAGTCCCCAAATCTTGAAATGGACTTTCTCACCTAGTTCCTTCATGTAATTCTCAAAGTTGTCCCTGGAGACCAGTTTCCAGCTTCCCAAGAAGGGCTCCACCATCCTGGATCGCTTGCTGAGAAGTGGCCCTCGCAGCTGAAAACCAGAGAGAGGTGGCCGGCACGGTACCCCGCGAGGTTTAATTTAAAGAACATCCTCATCATGTGATGTTTGTGATGTAGCTGATAGGAGCAGTATGGCCAGGATGCAGGGCACCCGCGCTTGACTTATTTACCTCCAAATTAAGGGACAGAAAACTGGCATCTCAAGTTTAATTCAGGCCAACGATTATGGTGTCTCACAGAGATTTATGGCCAAGAGTCCCTTGGTAAGTGCTATGTGGGATGGAGACAACTGTGAACAGAGGTCGCCTTTGGTACAATAAATGCTGAGTTATCCAGAAGAAACAACTGATGAATGCTTGCAGGACACCTGACAGGGATGTTTTCCCAGGGACGTCCTCGCTTGTTTCTTGATATCCTCAGCTGTTTTTTGTTTGGCTGAGTCATATTAAAATAATATCTTCCCTTCCTTTCAGTGTTGATGTATTGACATTAGTTAATGTAACTGAAATGCCTATAGTTGCCGAGAGTGATGTAGGCTGTAATTATTATTATCATTATTGTTAATTAAGGGTAATTGAGGGGAGGAAAGAAAGGTAACAATTATTATTCACTAATGATTCATGATTTAAGCCTTAAGAAGGAGGCAGAGTCAATGGCTAGAAAACTCATTTTTCAGGTTTACAAAGTAATTTTGATATTAAACTGCACCATTTGAAATTGTGAAGGCAAATTTTTAGAAGTTTTAGATAGAAAACAATATTTGACAGATGCATGCTAAAAGAAACACAAATGAAGTGAATAGATTGTCTGTTCAACTACTTGAAAAGTAATCCTCTGCAGTACAACTAATGCAAGTGGATTTATAAGTACCAGACTTTCTAAGAAGGTCTAGATTGAAGTAATGTGGATTTATACCCCAGTTTTAAACTTCAGTTGCTTCAAACATGCTGGAAAGATACCAGGTCAGGGACCAAGCCAGGAAGATGTATACTTTTTACTGATATCGTGTCAAATATTTCCTTAACCCAAGAAAATATCTATTTAAACCACCTTTGTACAGACAAAGCAATAAAAGGTTATGGTTTTGACATCACAATGTAGTAAGATAGTAAAGAATTTATTTGAAGAAAATATATAATGAAAGACTTTATAATTTTATGTTTCTATACACTGAACAGTCACTAAGCTACCTGGAGATCAAACTAAGGTAGAGTCAGTGCTACGGCAGAGTCGACTCTCTACTCCCTTCTCCCACTAGAGTCAACTTCATAAAACAGACTCATACGCAAATAAGTGCATGAGCAGGTGAAGGCGCGTTCAGAGGTGGTGTTCAGAGGAAGAGCAAACTATAGAGCTCCCTTTGTCTGGTCTAAATGTCTGTGTTCTCACTGTAGGAATAGCAGCAAGCTTGCACGGCCATGATGTTGGCGTGTGGGGCAGCGTGACCAAGGTCTCCCTTTTGAGTAACCGTCCTTGTCATTCTGATCCTCCTGACATGGGACTGATTCAGAAGTCAAGCATGTGGTTCACTTTAGAATGCATTTGGCTCATGTGACAAAAGAAAAACAAAACTAATTTCTGGCTTCTGTAAATTTCTTGCCCTGAGAAGGGAGTCTGGGTGGAGATAGTCTCTTTTCTACCTGTGCACATTTTTTCTTATGTACTACGGACACTGCTGTGTGTATTGCTATAGACACTACTGCGTGTATTACTGTGTGTATTGCTATGCACACTGCTGCATGATGTATTGCTCATGACACTGCTGCATGTATTGCAATGCACACTGCTGCATGTATTGCTACAGACTTTACTGTGTGTATTGCTATGGAAACCACTGCGTGTATTGCTATTGACACTACTGCGTCTATTGCTATGCACCCTGCTGCATGTGTTGCTATGCACACTGCTGTGTGTGTTGCTATGGACACTATTGCATTTATTGCAATGACAACCCAAAGAAGGAGCCAGGACCAAAGAAGGCAGAGTAGAAAGGAGGGAAGAACCAAGAGCTACTTTCTTTCTTTTCTTTCTTTTTTTTTTTTTTTTTTTTTAAAAAAAAAGGTGTTTTTTTTTACAGGTTCCGAGGGGTGAATAAGGTATTACTGGTTTTATAAATTAGCGTTCTTTGCCTCCCCAGGGATCTTCTTCTGATATTTGCAGCGCAGGTCTTGGTAGCATGAGCTACCAAGGCCAGCTGTGCCTTACCTGCTGTTTGTGACCTGTGACTTAGGTATCAGACCAGGCACCTGCAGAGGTGGGAAACTCCTCTTCAGTGGTTAGGCAACACCCAATTGTTGATTTTCCAGAAGATTTGTCCTTACTAAAGGGCCAGTGATTGACCCAGTTGTGGTGAGAAAATAAAATCCAAAGCTCAGGTTCCCATGTGGGGAACTCTGAGAGGTAGGAACTGATTTGGAATCCATGGCTATTTTATATCATTCCCACCATTTTATTGGAAAGTTTCAGGTGGCAAACCAGATGATATCTGCGCATGAAGCCTGTATTACCAACAATAGAATCACAGCCATCGGGACCCAGCTGCAGGATGTTGTCCTGAAACATCAGAGGGGTGTTTGCAGAAGAAAAGTTCAGGATTTTGTTCATGTGACTTGCAGGATCATACTTGACATGAATTCTTTGATTATCACTGTTTCAGCTGTTCTTCTTCATCTATTAACAGCAAAGCCTGGCAATCCTAGTCTAAAGTGATCAGAAGAGGATTGAAGATTAGGAGCAGCAGGGTTTGAAAGTCCCTGGGCATTCAAGGTTCTTCCAGAAACATTAGCATCAAAAGGCAGCTATAGGGGCTGGGGAGATGGCTCAGTGGAATAAGCACTTGCCTGGCAAGTGCAAGGGCTTGAGTTCAATCCCCGGTTCCACCAAAAAAAAA